TACACACATTGAACTACAGGTTTTTATTTTCCACTTACTAATGTAGCATGGATCATTACTGCTGTTAGTGGAGTTTTCTTTTGACACGATGCCAGTTTGTGTATGATCTGTTGTTGTTTTAATACACAGGGTGTTATTGGCTTTATACACCCACCGTGATATCTGTGACCCATTAACTGAAGTGCAGTTAATGAAAATGCAGCCTATGAGCAAAAACAGATTATTTATGTAAGACAAAGCAACCAAAATGATGATATGTGTTATTATCAGAATGTTCTCACTCACAACAGGTAGATATTCTCTCCTCTTTGGAGACGTTGTTTCTGACTGAGCAGGCAAGACGTCCTGAGACGTGCTGTTTCAGAGTGATGATGTTACTCTCATTATTTACAGAAAGAAGCTCAGCATCTGTCAGTGTGCGTCCATCCAGAGTCCAGCTGTACTGAGGACTGTCCCCTCCCTCAGAGGAGCAGGACACCTTCATCTCTCCCTGGGACAGACACTCAGAGAGCAGCAGGACAGAGGACACAGGAGCTGAGAGAAACACACAGATGAGTTTATATGTTAAATCAGAATCTTTGAACTTCTGTTAAGTCTCAAATGAAAAGCACAAAATACATGTGTCTTGAGTTTTGTTTTTTTTTACATATTACAAAGGTTATCAAACAATGTTAAATTGATATCTATTCATCTGTTATGAACAGAGAAAAAAATACCTTGAATAAACAACTGTAAAGTCCGCTCGCCTGATGATTTTCCATCTGAATCAAAGGTCTTAAGGCTATAATTACCACTGTCATTGCTGCTCAGGTTATTGAGCCTAAATGTTCCATTACTGGGAATAATGGTAGACCTGTTTCCTATCATATTAACCTGATCATTTTTCACATCTAATATTTTTAAAGAATTCTTTAATAATTGGTATCTAGGTAATTCTGAGGTGCTTTTCATCAGTTGGATATCCACACTTCCTCTCAAAGCTCCATAACACTGAGCTCCATCCTGTCTGCCATCACAGTAAGTTTTCACACCTGCAAAAAAAAAAATAAAGCTGTCATAGGTGTTAGTTTATCCCCAGATTGCCTAATGCAGTGGCCTGAATTCTAGCATAGAGGGCTTTGCTGTGTGCCCTCCTTTCTCTTTCTCTTTACGGAAAGCTAAAGATCAGAAGTGGAAACAAAAGAGGGTCAAAACACCACCAGGACTCAAAGACTAGGCAGACCAACCTGAGCACTGGGTGGATTAACTCTAGGAACACTTAAAACTCAGTGCCTTACACATAGATTTTATTGTGCTTGGCGTTATACAAGACTAAGTATTATAACAATACTGCTTCAGACTTCATTGTTGCCTTTCTTAAACTTGAAGTTTTGTACTGTCGTAATTCAGTTCTGTGCATTTAGGATGTAGTTAGAATGATGTGAAAAGGTTCCCTGTTCCTCTCTATTCCGAGAGGAACAGAGAGGTCATGTATTGACTCAGCAGGCGGCTTTCAGACAAACTTCTCTACTTAACACAGATGCAAACTTGTACAACCTACATACAGCTATTTCCTGTTAGTGATCATTTCCAGATAAGAACATGTAAATATAGACCAGGCAGGAAGAGATTAGTATCACATCTTACATTTGCTTTCAGTATCTTAGTATTAACTACTTAAAGCACTTGCCAGGAGACAATATCAGGTTATTCATACTAAAATCTCCTCGTCCAACTTAATATCATCTGACTGATTCCTGTTCTACATTCAAGTCATTATTTTATCTTCTTCAAATTATTTAAAAAGTAAAATTGTTCACATTCAATATGCATTATATTCACATTGGATAATCAACATGAATTTTTCAGTAAATAACAGATTGCTTTACATCTCAACTCTGAAATCATGGCACAAGAAATAACCATTTGCAAGTTGTTTACACTCATTCTATGTTAAGACAGTTGAAATGAAAAACATTTTAACAAGTAAAAATGAAAATGGATCTAAATGTGATATGAGACACATACCATGAAAACAAACAAACAAAAAAGTGTGCAAACAGGAAGTTGGTTTTGTATAGCAGAAATAAATAGAAATAGTCTAAATAATTCCAGATTCTAAAACGTATGCACAACCTGTCCAGGATGTACCCCACCAATAGATGGATGTATGAGATGTGCAGACTTTATATATTTGTTACTGAATATGGAAACGCTTTTTAGTACTTTAGTGCTCAAGATCCTTTTTAATTATCTCTCTTAATAATGCATAATGTAAAGCTTTTATTAAGTGTCTTTTAAAATAAAGTGCTAGTAGAAATACATGAAAAAAGCTCACTATAAGAAACTCCGACCAGCAGCACCAGCAGTCCCACCGCAGCTTTCATGTCTCGTCTCTGTTCAGTGTGTGTGACCCAGATAGAAACAGCCTGCAATGTATCCTGTTGAAAGCTTTGACCTATAAGAACATTGTTATACTCATCTTTTTTTTTTCCTCTGAGGTGTAACTAAGGAGGTCTTATTTTTCTTCCGCTTTCAACATCCCACGACTGGACATTTCTGAGCTGAAAAAAGGAAACAATCCTTATAAGTAGTCAAACAGAGAGCTAATCGTTGCACGGTAAAAATTTATAACCACGGCCACATTTCTTCTGCATATGATGATAATAATAATATTGATAGATTTTATTTGAAAGCACATTTCAAGACACCCAAGGACACTTGACAATAGAATAAAACACATAATAGAACAATGACAACAAGGAACAATAAGAAAACTAAAGCGCAACGTAAGATAAACAAACAATAGGTTCACAGTGAATATGCAGATTTGAATAGATGGATTTTGAGTTGAGTTTTAAACTGGGGGAGAGAACCAATGTTTCTTATATCTGGGGGTAGAGAGTTCCACAGCCTGGGATCAGAGCAACTGAAAGCTCTGAAGGTGAGCAGTAGAAGTTTGTATTTAATCTGGAATTTTACAGGGAGCCAGTGAAGTTCCTGGAGAACAGGGGTGATGTGCTGGTAGGAGGCGGTTCTGGTAATAATGCGGGCAGCAGAG